ATTCCCTACCCACCCAACTCCGCACCCCCAGCCCCACTCCCTTCTCGACCCCCCTTTTGCCACCCATACTCACTCCCGTAGTGTTTGCCTAAATTATGCTCCATGTGTTTCAATTTATGTGAACACATTTTATTGGACACGAAGTTTAAGAAAAAAGATACGTAGTAAGAATTTTGAACTTGTGATGTAAAATGAGGTACAAATACTTTTTGTCGTTATAAATCATTGCATAAAGGTAAATTATTTCTAAATAAGGAAATGGGTCATTCCCTTTTGGCATGGACTAAAAAAAATAAATTCACATAAATTGAAACAAAGGGAGTATATTTTTTAAAATAATATTTTCTTCTCACTAATTAAACACTAGAAAATATTTTTCGAAATTTTTTCACTCACCTACAAAATATAAAAAAAAATAAGTAATAAAACTACTCATTTTCCTAGGTAAATATTTTCAAAGAATATTTTTGTTTCGTAGCAAACACACCCTTAATATGTAGCTTAAAGGAGTATGAAATGATAAACAAATGTGAAGGTAAGAAAAAACAAAAGAGAAACAGTAAGAACAAATGATTCGTCGAAACGCGTTGATTGGTAGTCTTACGTAATTCTCAATACGTCAGCAAAACAAATTCCAAAAGTTTGGCAATTGAATTATTGTACCCTGTTCCTGTTTAGAAAGGAAAAAAAGGGAAAAAAGTAAGAAAGAAAAAGCTACATTATTGTAACCCTGTTCATTGAAGGAATGTTACTTTTGATAAAGAAACATAAAGAAGTATTCTTAGCTTGGAAGGAAATAAATTTGACTAGGGATTGACTATATGCTCTCCTCTCTCTCTATATATGTTCAAACAAAAGTTGGTAGTTTGTGTCACTACTAGTTAGTGTAGTTGAAAGATCAGAGGGTTTTGAGGCAAAGAGTATAAGTGAGGAGTTTTTGCATAGCAAGTAAGTCTCTTCTAATTCCCCCATCTCATCTTGTTAATACTTTTGATTCACTTCCTATTACGCTTAGTATCTTGCTGTGATTGATGCTTGTTGCTACTGCTTTCTTCCGTCTATTTTCTGGCTCTTAGTTTGCTATTATTATCTTTTTTGGCCCTTGATGTTGATATTGCTTGTTTCTACAATTTATTTTCATGTTTCATGAGCCGAACCACTCTACCCTCCCGTGAAAGTGTAAGGTCTACGTGCACATCATACTTCTCAGACCCCATTTGTGGGGCTTCATTGGGTCTATTGTTGTCTCATCCGGTATTCGGATCGGTGTTAGACTAAATCCGGATTGGATCTATTGTTGTCTCATCCGGTGTTTGGTGTTAAACTAAATCCGGATTAGTAGGTGTAACCCAGACCCTGCTTGTGGGGCTTCACTGGGTTTATTGTTGTCTCATCCGGTGTTCGGGTATCAGCAGCATTGGGATTAGACTAAATCCGGTTTCACAACAGGAAGTCCCAAATTAGGTTAAAACACTTCCTAACAAAGGCAACTCTATACTTTGGGCCAAACTGAGACCTCTTGTACTACTCCACAACCCTTGTTGGTTTTTGTGTTGTTTATGTGTTTAAAGCATCTTATATAATGTTTGGCTTCAATGTTTACCTCATTTTAGTCTCAACTGTTTCTTGGAGCTTTCTTTTTTTTGAAGTTTGAGTTATTTGAATCTTTCCATGGTTTTGTGAGCCGATCATGGGCAGAGGCAGACCCATGATTTTTGTGCGATGGGGCACAATATTCTGCTCAACCAGTGCCTACTAAAGGATGTAGTGTTCATGGTGCCAAGTACTTTAAATTAACCATTTTCTAGGTATATATATATATATATATATATATATATATAGGATTTCTTCCGAAGCTTACTGGTTTCCATCTCATTTTAATGTTTTAGTTAGCTATTCATTGATCATTGTCTACGAAGCAAATGTGAGCACCAGACTATGATGCTAGCTATGCAAAAAGCAGTATGAAAGACCAGACGAGCGTAAAAGCAGTAGAAATCGTTGGTTAATATGATAAGGTAAGTTAGTAATTTGCTACACTGAAGAAAGTAAAAAACCCCATTTAGGATTTAGCTAGATGATTGATTGACTGAAATTGACCAAAAATTGAGGTTTATTTCTTCATAATATTTCTCCTAATTTCAACCTTGGATTGTTCTGACTTGATTGTGTTTCTGTATGTCAGTTCTTTCAGTAGGAAGTGTTGACTGTTAATATTAGGAGAACAAGTAGTTACACGTTTCATAGATAGGAATATGATCAAGAAGAGGCTTGGAAAGTATTAGTCATCAGTTTAATTCTTTTAGGAGGTTTTTCTTTACCATCGACTGTGTCTTTTAAGTTTTTATGCAACTGATGCATAATCTAGTCGTAGCTTGCTGTATTCCTTTTAAATACTTAGTCTTAGATTTGCATAACTTTTGGCTCTTTCTTTACCAAGTAATTTTTAGCTCTTCTTTTAGCTAGCAACTCTTTTACCTTAATCTTGTTATTTTATTTTTATTATACTAGTATTCTTACTTGTATTACACATGTATGTGACTTCAGAGGGTAATCTGGTGGTGATTAGTATTTGACAGTTGAACTGCACTTGGAATTTGGCTATATGGGAAAGACAATTCAGGTTTTTGGATTCCCTTATCTTCTGTCTGCCGAAGCGGTCAAGAAATTCTTAGAGAATCATACAGGAAATGGAACTGTCTATGCTGTGGAGGTTAAACAGTCCAAAGGTGGACGTAGAGCATTCGCCATAGTTCAATTTGCCAACAACAAAAGCGCAGAATTTATCATCGATTTGGCTAGTAAGCGGTTGTATTATGGAACTTCTTATTTGAAGGCTTGGGAAATGAAAACTGATATTGTCCAACCGCGGACATATGTGCAACACATGGATGGCGTAACTCTGAATTTTGGATGTCTGATATCAGACAAGAAGTTTGCAGTGTTGGGAAGTAAAGGTGTTTCAGTTAAATTTGGCATTGGATTGAAGAAAATTTACTTCTTTTTATCTCATGCTTCAGCTGATTATAAACTTCAGCTTTCATATGAAAATATATGGCAAGTTGTCCTTCATCGTCCATATGGTCAAAATGCTCAGTTTCTCCTCCTACAGGTTTTTGAATTATTCCAAACCTTTTTTGCTATGCTTTTCATCCTTCTCCATGTGCTAGTCTTTGTGAATATTTGTGACTATTTGATTGTTGGTTGAATAGTACACAGTTCTCATGTATTGAGTGTCTTATTGTTTGTTGATCCGCTTCTTTTGAGGCAAAATCATTTCTGTATATCTGTTATGCATGCAAAAGTTAGACGCACACCAGCTTTGCACCTGTCAATTGTTTGTGTAATACTGGAAAAGGATATATAGTGTGTCAACTTTCCGGCCGATGATGATAAGAACCTGTTCTGAGATGGCTCTATATTATTTGCAATCTGTGTTTTCCTATGTGGTTCAATAAACTATCTCTGCAGCCTCTTGATTTGCTTTACAAAAGGCCCTAGTCACTAAATGTATCCTTGTAGCTTCTTGACTTCCTTTGCTCAAAAGGCCGTAGTCACCAAAAGCCAAAAATAGAATGGCTTTCATTGGTTAATGAATAATGATAGAATATATGCTAAAGATTGGCTTCAGAGACAAGATCTAGACTGTAACAAGGTTCTTTATCCCAAAGAAAAAAGAACTCACAAGATTTTATGATACAGCAAGAATTTGCAACTATTTTGTGAGCTTTGAAATTGTGCTATTTAGAGTCTGAAAGTGTAGGAAATTGATATTGTTGCAATGGGGAAAACTGGGCCAAATACACAGATAGCCACTCGGAGTTGGTATGAAATGTCAGTTAGACACTAAAAGTTTACTAGTGTCCAGATAGACACTTCAACTCGATAAGAATGCGACACGTGAGCACTTGGGTCATAAGACCTAGTGGGTGAGTGCGATCATGGTCGGCGAGTAAATTTCTCCATTCTCTCCAGGTTCCCCACCAGCCACTACCAACTCAATCTCTCTCCCTTTTCCAGCTTCCCTATATTGCAATGTGGCAACCCATTTATATCTTGCCTATTGTTAGTTTCCTCGGTTAATTTCTTTCTCATTTGTTGACAAACTAGAAGAACAACATGGAAACTGTTAGGAAATGAACCTTTGGCGTTAATCCAACCCCAAAAGCAAGCTTGTGAGTTGAGATTGCTCAAAGACTGTGTAAGGAAATTAATTACCTCATCCCATAACGATGTGCGACTCTAACACCCCCGTTCTCCTCTCACGCCCAAGATTGGATATTTGGACCGTGGACAATATTGAGAAACAAGAAAGAAGAGAAGAGGGCGGGGAATAGTTCACTTGATTATTCCCTCAAGCCATTGGGGTTTAAAATGACCTTTACAAGAATTACAAATAAGGAAAGAAAATAAAAGGCAGCAACACCTGGGAGAATTAGACAACAACAACAACCCAACAATAATCCCACTAATGGAGTCTGGGGAGGATAGAGTGTACGTAGACCTTTCCCCTATCTCGAGGGTAGAGAGGCTGTTTCCGGGAAACCTGGGAGAATTAGACATACCTCTAAAGCTCAATTCCAGTATAAAAACACCAATATAGGACTCTAAATTGGTTTAGAATTGCTAAATTTCTGCTCCAAAATGGCTCCTTTGTTCATTCAATAATTGATGATTTCTGTAAACTTAACATCAAGATAGTTCTTCTTTTCCTCCTTTATCCTCTCTTTGCTCGCTAATCAGGATTTTATGATGAGTTAAAATATATTGCTATTTTTTTTGGGCAAAGTTTGGCATCTTTAAAATTGTAATTTATTTATTTATTTTAGTGCCCTTTTTTCAGTTTATGAGTCAACCTTTACCGTTTCAGCTATAGTGCCCTTTTTTCAGTTTATGAGTCAACCTTTACCGTTTCAGCTATAGTGCCCTTTTTTCAGTTTATGAGTCAACCTTTACCGTTTCAGCTATAGTGCCCTTTTTTCAGTTTATGAGTCAACCTTTACCGTTTCAGCTATTCTTTTTGGGATATTTGCTAGGTGAGACATTCTAATAGTGTTATTTACATTGTCCTTTTTCATTTGTCAGTGATTTTTGCTTTGACTACGGCTCAAACATCTATTTTGAAGTACTGCATTGCTTCTAATAGTCTTTTAACAAGCATGAATATTTATCATGTGAAATAGACTGGAAAATTACTAGGTGCAAAAGTGTGTTTCATAGACTAGAGCCATTTGGATAGCCCTTTTAGTTCAATTATATTTTTGTGCTTAGTTTTTATTAAAGAAGAAAACTCGAAAGATGATTAGTGAACATTGACAGTTTCTTTTTACCAACTAAATTTCTTCACGAGTATAGTTGCATCAGTTAATATATCGCTTTATATAATTGAAATATGGTAGATCTGTAGTCTACTTTACTGATTTACCATGAGATTTATTATCGATTTATTCATTCGATTTCTGTGATTTAGTTATTTGGTGCTCCTCGGATCTATAAGAGACTTGAAGGCTCCTGTTATAGCTTCTTTAAGGAAACTCCTGATGATCAGTGGGTAAGGACAACAGATTTCACTACATCTTGGATAGGGCTATCTTCTAGCTTATGTTTGGAGTTTCGTAATGGTGGTCGACTTCCAAATTTCAGCGAAAGTTTTTTTTACTATAAAGAAAGTGTGAGCCAAGTTATTTTACAGACTGGTTACACCTTTTCATTCTCTCAAAATTTGGCTCTGGTTCCCATTGTCCACCTTCCTGAAGGTGTTGAGTTGCCCTACAAGATATTGTTTAAAATTAGTTCCTTGATACAACATGGATGCTTTCCTGGACTAGCATTAAATTTTAACTTTTTCCAATTAGTTGACCCTCGAAGGAGAAATATTGCATGCATTGAACACGCCTTGGAGAAACTGTACTATTTAAAGGAGTGTTGTTATGATCCAGTGAGGTGGCTAACTGAGCAGTATGATGAGTACCTCAACCGCAGACAACTTCCAAAATCTCCGTCCATCACTTTAGATGATGGATTGGTGTATGTAAGAAGGGTCCTAGTAACACCATGCAAAGTTTATTTTTGTGGTCCAGAGGTTAATGTATCGAATCGGGTTCTGCGCAATTATTCTGAAGACATAGATAACTTTCTTCGAGTTTCTTTTGTTGATGAGGAGTGGGAGAAAATACATTCTACAGATTTATTAACAAGAGCTAGTAGTGGAAATGGTATCAGGACAGACATCTATGAGAGGATCCTATCAACTCTTCGGAATGGCTTTATAATTGGTGATAAAAGATTTGAATTTCTTGCATTTTCATCGAGCCAGTTGCGGGATAATTCAGTGTGGATGTTTGCATCAAGACCTGGCCTTACTGCAAATGATATAAGAACATGGATGGGTGATTTTCAGCAAATCAGGAATGTCGCAAAATATGCTGCCAGACTTGGCCAATCTTTTGGTTCCTCCAGAGAAACTTTGAGTGTCGGTAGGCATGAGGCTGAAGTTATTCCTGATGTAGTTTGTTCGCTTCATGGAACCAACTACATCTTTTCTGATGGAATTGGAAAAATATCTGCTGACTTTGCTCGTAGAGTTGCCATAAAATGTGGCCTTCAGTATACTCCATCTTCTTTTCAGATTCGTTATGGTGGATATAAAGGTGTTGTGGCTGTTGATCCATATTCATCAATGAAGTTATCTTTGAGAAAGAGCATGTTGAAATATGAATCAAACAACATAAAGTTAGATGTCCTGGGATGGAGCAAATATCAGCCTTGTTATCTTAATCGTCAACTGGTTACTCTCTTGTCTACTCTTGGGGTGATAGATGATGTTTTAGAGCAGAAGCAAAATGAAGCAGTAGATCAGCTTGATGCTATTTTGCATGATTCTTTGAAGGCACAGGAAGCTTTAGAATTGATGTCTCCTGGAGAGAATACTAATATTCTCAAGGAGATGCTAAATTGTGGTTATATGCCTGATGCTGAGCCGTTTCTTTCAATNACTTGGGGTGAAAGATGATGTTTTCGAACAGAAGCAAAATGAAGCGGTAGAGCAGCTTGATGCTATCTTGCATGATTCTTTGAAGGCACAGGAAGCTTTAGAATTGATGTCTCCTGGAGAGAACACTAATATTCTCAAGGAGATGCTAAATTGTGGTTATATGCCTGATGCTGAGCCGTTTCTTTCAATGATGCTGCAAACTTTCCGGGCTTCAAAGTTGCTCGATTTGCGGACTCGATCAAGAATATTTATTCCAAATGGAAGAGCGATGATGGGATGCTTGGATGAATCCAGAACCCTGGAATATGGTCAGGTGTTTGTTCAGTTTACTGGTACTGGACGTAGACAGTTTTATGAGGAATCACATCCTTTTAATGACAGTGGATCCACCAACTGTAATTTCATTCTCGAGGGAAATGTGGTCGTTGCAAAAAATCCATGCTTGCATCCTGGTGATATTCGTGTTTTAAGGGCTGTTGATGTTCCAGCTTTGCACCACATGGTAGATTGTGTTGTATTTCCCCAGAAAGGAAAAAGGTAAAACATTACTTTGGAAACCTATTATATCTGTTTGATTTCCATGTAATCTTATAGAGGGATTTACCATTTCTTGCCTAGTCTTACTAACTATCAAAACGTGTTATTTCTTTTAGTGAGTGAATTTAGAAAAACTTTACAGAAATTGCAACTAGTCTTGTCGTACCATGTTGAATTCTTGATTAGAATCATAACTGGAATTCAAGTTCTACCGAGTCTTTGACCATGTAATGTTTGGTCACTCTTGCATGAAAGCGCGGTTGTTGGCATAGATGTTTGGCCAACAACTATGAAAATCAATTCCTGGAAGAAGCTTATATTAGGAATCTATATAGTCATGAAATTTCATTCTGGAAACAAGCATATACTCAAAATTTGTGTAGCTTGACATGACCATTATGAAGTAGCTTACATTGTGTTTGCATTGAAAAGAAAGTGGAATTTCTATTGATTTAGAGTAGTATTTACTTATGGCCTCGTTCTTACATATTGGCATATCTAAGGGGGGTTCCTCGGTTCACGTGAACCCACGCTCTCCTCCTTAGATCATGTATAGTAATGTTATTTTTTTCAAAAAGACTTAAATATATGTGTGTACCCAAGCTCAAAGTATCACATGATGTGATAGTTATTGGGTGCACCTCTCTAAGTGATATTGGGGATTCAAATCTTGTGTCTCTTGTTATTTTTTCGTTTCTTTTTCTAGAATTGGGCCCACCCACGAGTATGTGCATGCCTGGTGTCATTTCTTGTGTTTTAATTAAGTACTTTTTTCTTTTTCTTTCTTTCTTTGTTTGGTTTATTCTTCAAAATTTCGAACTCTTGACACATTGAAATCTCTACTATCCTTTAGTTACCATAAAATTTTATAATTAAACCAAATGTGTATAGTGAAGCTAGTTGCAGTGGATGATGTAGCATATAGTTAATGGGTTCAACTGATCCCAACATTTCTGCCACAAAGTGTGTGTGTGTATATATAAATATATATTTGTGTGTGTTACTATTAAAAAAATATAATTTGAACCTAATAATTTCAAAAGCGTAATGGGTACAACAGTAAGAACCTAAAGGCCTGAACCATCAAAATTAATATCTTGGATCAACCTCTTGTTCTTACACTGTATGTTTGGCATGACTGAAAAGTTCTATCAAATAAACTAGCTTCCATCCTTATAAGAACTGTTTTTATCTTTTTTTTCATGGCATTGTTTCTCAGTGTTTAAACTTTGATGACAGACCTCATCCAAATGAATGTTCTGGAAGTGATTTGGATGGGGATATCTATTTTGTTTGTTGGGATCCAGACCTGATTCCGCCAAGGCAAGTCCAGCCGATGGATTATACTCCAGCACCCAGCACACAGTTGGATCATGATGTCACAATTGAGGTACCCCTGGTTTCAAACAACTAAGTTTTACTTACATAATTTAGCATGCTTCTGATGTATTCAACCTCTCTTACCTTATAGATGTGTATATGTAATTAAAATTGCCCACTCTCTGCTTACTGCAGGAAGTTCAAGAGTACTTCACCAACTATATTGTGAATGACAGTTTGGGAATCATAGCGAATGCGCATGTTGTATTTGCAGACAGAGAACCTGATATGGCCATGAGTGATCCGTGCAAACAACTCGCTCAGCTCTTTTCAATTGCAGTTGACTTTCCAAAGACTGGTGTTCCTGCTGAAATACCATCTCAGTTGCGCCCTAAAGAATACCCCGACTTCATGGAAAAGCCAGACAAGCCAACCTATCACTCGGAAAAAGTTATTGGAAAACTTTTCCAGAAAGTGAAGGACAAAACACCTCAGGCTTGCTCTATCGCGACCTTCACAATGGATGTTGCCAGGAAATCATATGATGGTGATATGATAGTCAATGGATTCGAAGATTACATTGACGAAGCTTTTTACTACAAAAGTGAATACGACAACAAGCTTGGTAATTTAATGGACTACTACGGCGTAAAAACTGAGGCTGAAATACTTAGTGGTGGCATCATGAAAGCATCAAAAACTTTTGACCGCAGAAAAGATGCAGAGGCCATTGGTATTGCTGTGAGGTCTTTGAGGAAAGAAGCAAGGACCTGGTTCAAGAAGCGTAGTGATATAGATGACATGTTAGCAAAGGCTTCGGCTTGGTACCACGTTACATATCATCATACATATTGGGGTCTCTACAATGAGGGGTTGAAAAGAGATCATTTCATTAGCTTTCCCTGGTGTGTTTATGACCAGCTGATCCAGATTAAGAAGGCGAAAGCACGTAAAAAGCCGGTTCTCCATTTATCTTCTCTCGGGAATCAACTGAGTCGCAAATTAGTGTTGATATGATAGCATTAAGCCAATCTATATAATGTAAAAAGGGTGTGATCATAAGAGAACTGCTACGCGTTGTTAACAATCTTGTCTATTAAACCGCTGACATTTATGCAGCTCTCTTTAATAACAGTTGTATAGCTTAGTAGTATTTAGCATGCGATTGAAGTTGTTTTATCTCTCTTCTCGACATGGTTCATGTTATGCTTTATGTATTACGCTTAACCACAAGTGATTTCTTGATATCCATAATGCGTTAGAAACTATTGAAATTGTGTAGGACAGGACTGAAGGAAAAAGGTAAAACATGACTTTGGGAACCTATTATAACTGTTTGATTTCCATGTAATCATGTAGAGGGATTTACCATTTATTGCCTGGTATTTCTTTTGGCGAAAAACTTTAGAGGAAGTGCAACTAGTCTGGTCCTACCATGTCGAACTGTTTCTATCTTTTTTTCATGGCATTGTTACTCAGTGTTAAACTTCGATGACAGACCTCATCCAAATGAATGTTGTGGGAGTGATTTGGATGGGGATATCTACTTTGTTTGTTGGGATGCAGACCTGATTCCGCCAAGGCAAGTCCAGCCGATGGATTTGTTATGTCGAGGAAGAGGCAAACCCAAAAATAAAGAAGATAAAGAACACCAAATTTTAACGTGGAAAATCCTTGAAATCGAAGGTAAAAATCACGAGATCATAAAGATCCAAAAAACTCCACTATAACAATAAGAGGGTTACAAAAATTCTCCAAATTGGCTACACAACAAGTGCCAAACACAGCAACAAGAGCAACAACTAATCAATTGAAGAAAGAGTATAATCCACAAAATGAAGCTGCTATTCGAGGCTGGAAATCATATGCTATGAGACTCCAAATCCGATCTTCACCGTTCAAATCCAATACCAAGATGCTACGAACACTCAGTCAAAATTTTAGCCGGATCCAACGGCTAACGAATCGGAAAACATAATTTGAATGTTGGCTGATCGAAATAAAAATCTGTAGCAAAACAAATATTTTTCTTCTCTCTTCTCTCTTGACGAAAGCTCTCTCAAAAGTCACTCTTATGTGCTTAAGTCTTTCAAAGACTTGTATCAATGAGCATAGAATAATTCTCCAAGGTTGTTCTATTTATAGATCATGAGTGGTGCTTTCTCTTAAAGCCAAAACCCACTCAAAATAGGAATAAACCGAATCCAATTCCAAATAGGAATGGAAACTAAAAGAGAATAGGATTAGGCCATTGGGCCTTTGGCTGGACAACATGGGCATGACCCCAACAAACTCTCCCTCCAGCCAAGGGGCCAAATGTTTCTTTAAGTAGAGGAACTATTGACAAGCTTCATGCCTGCCAATTTTCTACAAAATCCATGTTTATCTGTAAGCTTAACTACGAAGTCCTCAAGGTGCTCCATATAAATCTCTTCATCTAAATCACCATGAAAAAAAGCAGTCTTGACATTCATCTGCTCAACCTCCAAATCTAGACTTGCAGCTAAGTCTAGAACCACACGAATAGAAGACATCTTCACAACAAGGGAGAAAATTTCATCAAAGTCAACTCCCTTCTTCTGACCAAAACCTTTAACAACTAACCTCGCCTTGTATCTAGGCGCAGAGGTATGGTTATCTTGCTTTATTCTGAATATCAATTTGTTAGATAAAGCTCTCTTACCTTTCGGCAATTTCACTAACTCATATGAGCCATTCTCATGGAGTGACTTCATCTCATCTTCCATCGCTTCGATCTACTGATCTTTGTGAGTATCTTGCATGGCTTCATCATAATTTTCAGGTTCTCCCATGTCAGTCAAAAGTACATACTCATCAGGAGGATAGCGCATGAATTTTTGTTTCTCCCTTGTAGATCTTCTAAGAGAGGTTTCAGGAGCATTCGAAGTAGTTACCTGTGCAAGAATTGGTTGTTGATCAACCACAACTTCATCAACTGGAGCATCCATAACATTTACACCATGATGATCATTTTGATCTTGATCACTATCTCCATCATTGTCTTGGGTTTCTTCATGTGCAATAGGTGCCTTAGCAATTGAAACTGGATCAATATCAACTAAGCTCTCATTATTCTGAGAATCTATCTTCTCAAATTTGTCAATATCTTCAATAGTTTGGTCTTCAAAGAATATTGCATCACGACTTCTAATAAGTTTATTGTCAACTGGATTATAAAAACAATACCCAAACTCATCTTGACCATAATCGATAAAGATGCACTGCTTAGTTTTGACATCCAATTTCGATCTCTCATCTTTAGGAACATGCACTCAAGCTTTACACCCAAAAACTCTCAGGTGATCATAAGAAATATCTTTGGCAAACCAAACTTTATTTGGGACATCACCATCCAAAGCAACTGCAGGAGACAAATTGATAACGTAGGCAACAGTGTTAAGTGCTTCAACCCAAAACGTATTTGGAAGTTTAGCCTCTGAAAGTAAGCATCTAACTCTCTCAACTAGAGTTCTATTCATCCTCTCTGCCAAACCATTCAGTTGAGGTGTCCTGGGCGGAGTTTTCTAATGACGAATTCCTTTTTCCTTGCAATAGTTATCAAAGGGACCACAATATTCACCATCATTATCAGTGCGAATACATTTTAATTTCTTCCCCGTTTGTCTCTCAGCTAAGGCCTAAAATTCCTTAAATACGCTAAGTGCTTGATCTTTAGATTTCAAAGGATACACCCAGAGCTTACGAGAATGATCATCAATGAAGGTCAAAAGTAAAGTGCACCACCTTTTTACTTTACTTTAACAGGACCACACAAATCAGAGTGTACTAGCTCCAATAAATCGGGCTTTCTTGAGGGAGGATGGCTATGAAAGGAAACCCTTTTCTGTTTGCCAGCTAAACAATGTAGGCACATTTTCAGCTTTGCTTGTTTCACTCCAGAAAACAAACTTTTCTTGGCCAAACACGTAATCCTTTCTCACTTATATGGCTCAATCTTCGATACCACAAATTCTGACAAAGTATCACTTTCCACCAAATTTATTGAGTCATTAAGAATAGAGCCCTGTATCACATATAAATAACCAGACTTGACTCCTTGAGCCACTACTAACGAGCCCTTGGTGAGCTTCCATTGGCCATTAAAGAGGGCATTATGGTAACCTTCATCGTCTAATCTTCCTACGGAGATCAAATTGAAAGGAAAGTCTAGAGCATGCTTGACATCTTGAAGAACTAACATTGAACCATTATTAGTTTTCAAACAAACTGTGCCAACACCAAACACCTTAACTTCACTAGCATTGCCCATTTTAACACTCCAGAATCAATAGGAGTATAAGATGAGAAAGTCTTTTCTTGGTGTGACATGTAAGGTAGCTCCAAAATCTACTATCCAGCTCGTCTCATGGGATACCAAATTGATGACATTTTCATCATAAGCAAAAAGAAGGTCATCTCGAACAATAGCAGCAACATTGTTCTCGTTATTTTCAGCTTTCTTTCCTTCTCTAGTATCTTGATTCAACTTGCGGCAAAACCTTTTGATGTGTCCTTTCTTGCCACAGTAGTTTCATGTAATATTATAGTATTTAGACCTTGACTTACTTCTACTTTTACCTCTATTCCTTGAGCCTCTTGTTCTATCTCTCGCCCGGTCTTCAGTAACTAAGATATCTACTTATGAGGACGAACCCTGAGATTTTCTCCTTATATCCTCGTTCAACACACCACTCTTGGCATATTCCATGCTCACCTTACCTATAGTAGCTGAATTTGTCAAAGAAACACTAAGAGTTTCCCAAGAGTCTGGCAGAGTATTAAAAAGCCAAAGTCCTTGTATCTCATCATCAAAATTAACTCCCATTCCAGATAGCTGATCAAGGACGCCCAGAAAAACATTTATGTGATCAAAGATATGGCTGCTTTCCTTATATTTAAAGGTCATCAATTGCTTTAGCAGAAACAATTTGTTGTTCCCGATTTTTGAAGCATAAAGTGTCTCTAGCTTTTCCCACAATGATCTCGCATGTGTCTCGTTCACAATATGGTTGTGAACATTATCTTTAACCCATTGTCGTATATATATACATACTTGTTGGTGCTCAAAATCCCAATCTTCATCGGATATACTCTCGGATTTATGAGCCAAAAAAACGGGTAGATGCATCTTCTTCACGAACAACAAGTCTTTCATCTTGCTTCTCCAAACTTTATAATTTCTCCCATTTAAACATACCATCTTGCTCATATTCGCCTCCATTCTGTAACAACCCGGATAAATAACCAAGGCTTTGATACCACTTGTTAGGACCGTAAAAATCAGGTGTCATATGGAAGCTTGCAACGCAAACCTTGAGCGATAATAAATCATACAACAAAGGAAAAATATACCAAAAGAGACACAAACATTTAACGTGGTTTGGTCAATTGACCTACGTCCACCGCGGAGATGAGCAATCCACTATATAAAAAGAGAGTACAAAATATCGAGAGAACAACCTCATAAAGAAGCAAACACAGGTGACACACTAACACTTCTCTCGTAAAGTTCTCCCCCTAAACACTACTCTTAAGCCCCCATGGCTACATTGTGGATGCTACTAAATGAGAAGGACGGATTTTCAATTTATAGAACTCCAAACCTTTTCCTACAAGAAAAAGGACTAGCCAAGTATAGGAGAATTATAATTTTCTTCTAAAAAAGGAAAACCCAATTAAGGTAATTATATTGCTCTTTCCTTCAACAAATAGGAAAACCAAATATGGTAAGAAAATTATGGCAAATACCTAACAATTCTCCCCCTTGGCCGGAATTTTCTGACAAAATAACTTGATCCACCTTCTTCACATAGCCTTCAACAGGCTGCATCTCCAAATCTCCACCACAAAGTTTGTCTCAACGTGCGTAGCACATCGGTCAAATTTCTCAGACAAAATTCACGATATCGTCAAATATGTTGCGGCTAGAACTGAACCTGCCAAGATGAACCTGTCTTAAACCTCGCTCTGATACCACTCTTATGACGAAGAAGAGGCAAACCCGAAAATAAAGAAGATAAAAAATACCAAATTTTAACGTGGTTTTTACCTTCGATTTGAAGGGTTTTCCACGTTAAAATTTGGTGTTCTTTATCTTCTTTATTTTCGGGTTTGTCTCTTCCTCGTCATAACAGGATTATACTCCAGCACCCAGCACACAATTGGATCATG